ATTTATTCATTTATTTATCTATTTATTTATTCATTTATTTATTCTTTTATTTATTCATGATTCGTTTGTTCAGCAAGTCTGTTTTCCCGCCGTTGTAGAGCGTATCCGTTTTCCAAGAGGTCTTGCGCATGCGCGTCACCAATATCCACATCTTTACGTCATGTTGAAAGACACTGTAATAAGGTCTTATGCTGAAATTATGATGTATATATAGTAATCCCAACAGTAAATGGTCGAGAAATGCATCGGAACACTCATATCCGGGATAATATCGTAAAAAAAGATTATTCGAAAGTTAATCCACATTAAAATRAAGTGAAGTTTATGTCAAAATTTCGTAATAAAGACGATATCTTGTCGTGTTTTTTATTAGTTTATCGAGATCACAGCAGGACAACACTGAATCCTCAACCTAAAATTTCACCCAGTTTAATAGGTAAGTATATTTCCTCATATGTGCAATTTGGAATTAAACATTTTATGGCCCCGGAAAAAAATGCAATTAATCAGAATTTCTTGAAGAAAAATTAATGTTAACTAAGCTTACCTTTATTCTCTGTAACTATGTTCAAGTTTCTTTCATTTTGATAACATTGCTCCTTAAAACATTTTCTTTTTCTTGATTTTTCTGATGATATTGCTGGGGTTTTTTTTCCTAAGTAATATTTGACTATTTTTCTTTTCGCTCCCCGAAATATTGAATATTTTTTATTTTATGTTTAGTTGTTCGAGCTCGTGCGAGATGAGCCAGCGCCTACGTTGCTTGAAACGCAAAACGAAACCGTTATAGACTGAATTAAAATTTTTTACTTATTTGTTTCTAAATATTACTTGGGGAAAAAGCCGTTCTTACGGTTTCCCTTTCTTTTTATGTGCGTAGCTCACTTCACTGTTCAAAACTCGCGGAATTTTCCTGGCAAATGGAAAACTCAGTATGGCGTTTTAACGGCCTAGCACCATCGTTTTCTCGTTTGCTGAACTTCAGACAGCGTTTTAGAAGCTTTGGTTCTTTCGTGTTTTTTCTCTGACTGATAAAGAAAAGCTGAAAAATTCCACGTTTTAAAAAGACTTTATTTTTTATATGTTAAAAATTCACTAAATCGTCAACACTTGATATAAAACAGATTAAGATGATTTTTTTTTCAATAATGAGCAATAATTGCAAAAGGCGCCAAAACTAGACTTTCGTATGAGTTTTGATTCCAATTTTCGTTTTGGGTTAACACTCAAAACCTTT